TTCTCTTTCGTCTGTCTTGTTATTGGTGTATAGAAATGCCACTGATTTCTCTGCATTGATTTTATATCCTGCCACTTTACTGAATTCCTGTATGAGTTCTAATAGTTTTGGAGTGGAGTCTTTTGGGTTTTCCACATAAAGTATCATATCATCTGCAAAGAGTGAGAGTTTGACTTCTTCTTTGCTGATTTGGATGCCTTTGATTTCTTTTTGTTGTCTGATTGCTGAGGCTAGGACTTCTAGCACTATGTTGAATAGCAGTGGTGATAGTGGACATCCCTGCCATGTTCCTGACCTTAGGGGAAAAGCTCTCAGTTTTTCCCCATTGAGTATGATACTCGCTGTAGGTTTTTCATAGATGGCTTTTATGATATTGAGGTATGTACCCTCTATCCCTACACTGTGAAGAGCTTTAATCAAGAAAGGATGCTGTTCTTTGTCAAATGCTTTTTCTGCATCTATTGAGAGGATCATATGGTTCTTTTTCTTTTATTAATGTATTGTATCACATTGATTGACTTGCTGATGTTGAACCAACCTTGCAGCCTAGGAATAAATCCTGAATAATCCTTTTAATGTACTGTTGGATCCTATTGGCTAGTATTTTGGTGAGAATTTTTGCATCCATGTTCATCAGGGATATTGGTCTATAGTTCTTCTTTTTGATGGGGTCTTTGTCTGGTTTTGGGATCAAGGTAATGCTGGCCTCTTAAAATGAGTTTGGAAGTTTTCCTTCCATTTCTATTCTTTGAAACAGCTTCAGAAGAATAGGTATTAATTCTTCTTTAAATGTTTGGTAGAATTCCCCTGGGAAGCCATCTGGCCCTGGGCTCTTGTTTGTTGGGAGATTTTTGATGACTGCTTCAATTTCCTTACTGGTTATGGGTCTGTTCAGGTTTTCTATTTCTTCCTGGTTCAGTTTTGGTAGTTTATACGTCTCTAGGAATGCATCCATTTCTTTCAGATTATCTAATTTGCTGGCATATAGTTGCTCATAATATGTTCTTAAAATTGTTTGTATTTCTTTGGTGTTGGTTGTGATCTCTCCTCTTCCGTTCATGATTTTATTTATTTGGGTCCTTTCTCTTTTCTTTTTGATAAGTCTGGCCAGGGGTTTATCAATCTTGTTAATTCTTTCAAGGAACCAGCTCCTAGTTTCGTTGATCTGTTCTACTGTTCTTTTGGTATCTATTTCATTGATTTCTGCTCTGATCTTTATTACTTCTCTTCTCCTGCTAGGTTTAGGCTTTATTTGCTGTTCTTTCTCCAGCTCCTTTAGGTGTAGGGTTAGGTTGTGTACTTGAGACCTTTTTTGTTTCTTGAGAAAAGCTTGTATTGCTATGTACTTTCCTCTTAGGACTGCCTTTGCAGCATCCCAAAGATTTTGAACAGTTGTGTTTTCATTTTCATTTGTTTCCATGAATTTTTAAATTCTCCTTTAATTTCCTGGTTGACCCATTCATTCTTTAGTAGGATGCTCTTTAGCATCCATGTATTTGAGTTCTTTCCGACTTTCCTCTTGTGATTGAGTTCTAGTTTCAAAGCATTGTGGTCCGAAAATATGCAGGGAATGATCCCAATCTTTTGGTACAGGTTGAGACCTGATTTATGACCCAGGATGTGATCTATTCTAGAGAATGTTCCATGGGCACTAGAGAAGAATGTGTATTCTGTTGCTATGGGATGGAATGTTCTAAATATATCTGTGAAGTCCATCTGGTCCAGTGTGTCATTTAAAGCCTTTATTTACCTGTTGATCTTTTGCTTAGATGATCTGTCCATTTCAGTGAGGGGTGGTATTAAAGTCCCTTACTATTACTGTGTTATTGTCAATGTATTTCTTTGATTTTGTTTTAATTGGCTTATATAATTGGCTGCTCCCATGTTAGGGGCATAGATATTTAAAATTGTTAGATCTTCTTGTTGGATAGACCCTTTAAGTATGATGTCGTGTCCTTCCTCATCTTCCTTTTGATTGGGGCATTTAACCCATTTACAATCAGGGTAACTCTTGAAAGATATGAATTTAGTGCCATTGTATTGCCTTTAAAGTGACTGTTACTGTATATTGTCTCTGTTCCTTTCTGGTCTATGTTACTTTTAGGCTCTTTCTTTGCTTAGAAGACCCCTTTCAATATTTCTTGTAGGGCTGGTTTGGTGTTCACAAAAACTACTAAAAGTAGTTTTTACTTTTAGTAAAACTAAAAGTACAAAACTAAAACTAAAAGTACAAAAACTACTTTTAGTAGTTTTTGTTTGTCCTGGAAGCTTTTTATCTCTCCTTCTATTTTCAGTGACAGCCTAGCTGGATATAGTGTTCTTGGCTGCCTATTTTTCTCATTTAGTGCTCTGAATATATCATGCCAGTCCTTTCTGGCCTGCCAGGTCTCTGTGGATAGGTCTGCTGCCAATCTAATGTTTCTGCCATGGGGGTTACAGACCTCTTGTCCTGAGCTGCTTTCAGGATTTTCTCTTTGTCTCCGAGACTTGTGAGTTTTACTATTAGATGTTGGGGTGTTGACCTATTTTTATTGATTTTGAGGGGGGTTCTCTGTGCCTCCTGGATGTTGATGCCTATTTCCTTCCCCAAATTAAGGAAGTTCTCTGCTATAATTTGCTCCAATATACTTTCTGTCCCTCTCTCTCTTTCTTCTTCTTCTGGGATCCCAATTATTCTAATGTTGTTTCACTTTATGGTATCACTTATCTCTCAAATTCTGCCCCGTGATCCAGTAGTTGTTTATCTTTTTCTCAGCCTCTTTATTCTCCATCATTTGATCTTCTATATCATTGATTCTCTCTTCTGCCTCATTTATCCTAGCAGTTAGAGCCTCCATTTTTTATTGTAGCTCATTAATAGCCTTTTTTATTTCGACTTGGTTAGATTTTAGTTATTTTATTTCTCCAGAAGGGGATTCTCTGGTATCTTCTATGCTTTTTTCAAGCCTAGCTAGTATCTTTATAATCGTCATTCTGAACTCTAGTACCAACATCTTACTAATGTCTGTATTGATTAGGTCTCTGGCAGTCGGTACTGCCTCTTGCCTCTTGTTCTTTTTTGTGAGGTGAGTTTTTCCATCTTGTATTTTGTCCAGAGGAGAATAGATGAATGAGAGAACAAAATGCTAAAAAAATGCTAAAAAGGTAACAATGGCCCCAGAAAAATATACACTAAACAAATCAGAAGAGACCTGAAACCTGGGGGAAAGGAAAAGGGAGGAAAAATTGAATATGATCCGGCTGGTGAAAATAACAGAGCCACACACTAGATTTTGGGTGTATTTTGGTCTGTTAGAAGAAATTGCCTCCCAAAAATTTAAAGAAAGAAAAACATATATATATATATACAAAAATAAGGGTAAATTTGATGAAGTGATAGAATATGACTGTGAAGATGAAAATTTAAAAAGGTTTTAAAAAAGGATAATTTGGTTGAAAAAAGAATGAAAAAAATTTTTAAAAAAAGAGAATGTGAATAGACAGGAGACTAGAATAACGTCATACACTAGATTTAGGGTATATTTTGGTCTGTTAGAAGAAACTGTATCCCAAAATTTTAAAGAAAGAGAAGCTTATATATATACAAAAAGTAAGATTAAATACAATGAAGAGATAGAATATGACTGTAAAAATGAAAAATTAGAAAAGATTTTAAAAAAGGAATGATAAGATGTTGATTGAAAAAGGAAAGAAGAAAAATTCAACTAAAAAAGTAGAAAAAGAAAAAAGTAAAATTTAAAAAATTAACTTTGAAAGACTAAAGAATCATGGGGAAAAAAGCCATGAAGTCTATGTGCTGTATTCCCCTAGTGCTGGGGTTTTGCCATTCTCATTGATTGGTAAACTTGGTCTTGGCTGGCTGTTCTTGCTGATCTTCTGGGGGAGGGGCCTGTTGCAGTGATTCTCAAATGTCTTTGCCTGAGGCAGAACTGCCCTGCCCTTGCCAGAGGCCAGGCTAAGTAATCTGCTCGGGTTTGCTCTCAGTATCTTTTGTTCCCTGCAAGCTTTCCGTACAGCTTTGGAGGATGAGAGTGAAAATGGCGGCCTCCCAATCTCTGGTCCCGGAGGAGCCTAGAGCTCAGGGCCCCACTCCTCAGTGTGCCCTCAGAGAAAAGCAGTCAGTCACTCCTGTCTCCCTGGTCTCTGGCTGCACTCCGTGCTCACCGTGACTGAGCATTTCTATCTCTGGCACCCGACCCTGTGTGGAGTCTCCAAACCCAGCAGATTCCTGCAGTGCGCTCCCATGCCGCTCCTCCCAGGGGAGGAAGAGGAGTGAGTCTCCCCAGATCTGCCACTTGTTGGGTCCCTGCTGGAAGAGCAGTGGCCAGACTATGCCGTGGATCACGGTTTATGGCCACCCTGAGCTGAGAGCCCACTCCTCGGCTCCGTCTTTGCAGCCTGCTTCCCTGCTCCGATACCTGGGAGCTCTGCCGTACTCAGGCACCCCCAGTCTTTCTGTGACCCCAAGGGTCCCGAGACCACACTGTCCCAGCGAGGGTTCCATCCCCCGCTTAGCCAGTGGAGTGATGTCCCTCAGTGGAGCAAACTTCTAAAATTTCTGATTTTGTGCTCCACTGCTCTATTGCTTGCTGGTAGCAGCTGATGGAGGCTCCCTCCCCCTGCGGTCTGTCTTCCCATATATCAACTCAGATTCACTTCTATGTCCTACCTTCCAGAAAGTGGTCGCTTTTTTGTTCAGAGAGTTGCTACTATTCTTTTCTTCAATCTCCTGTTGAGTTTGAGGTACAAATGATAAAATTTTAATATTTTGAATTAGATAAACATTAAAAAGTAAGAAATATATAACTCTGGGCTCCCTCCAACATTATAAAATAATTTTGTTACTTATTGAATGGTTCCTTTTATTGTATATCAATTTTTCTATATCTGATATGTATTTTTTATGTTGTGATTTTACTACAGACTTATGGATCAAAACAATAACATTCTTAATGTTGAATATCATGAATTAATAATAATAATATTGAAATATTTTACAGAATGAACTCCATAAGCTTGAAAAACAAATAGCATCTGTCTCTGCAGAAACTAAAGAAACAGAAAGGCAGATTTATCAGCAAGATGCTGCCATAGAGCATGCCAAACTTCAATGTGGGAACCTGGAAACTCAAATCAAATCCTTACATACAGAAAATGTCAAGCTTAAATTTGACATAGAAGCAGCCCAAGAAGACTTTGAGGAACACATGATAAGATATAATGAATATTATGCAAAAATAAAAGAGCATAAAGATAGTTTGGGGGAGGTAGAAAGCAAATGGTCATTCATGACTGCACTACATGAAAAACGAGATCTTGTTAAAAAACTAAAAACAACGAAAGAGGAACTTATGCAAAATCTCCAAAATCCAGACGGAAATCGCATAAAAGAAATACAGGTTTGAAATACCACTTATCATAACTTTTTCTATTACTCCTTTTTTGCAAGTACACTTACTAAGTAATACATTTATCATTAGTAAAATGTCCATAGCTGCCTTAACTAGATTCAGAAACTATTTTCACAACTTTTAAAAACTTAAATACATGAGTTATGTAACAACTACACCAAATGTACAAATACATAAGGGAGTTGTTCTCAAATCCTCAGTGGATTAATAAAAATATATGGTCAAACAAAATTGCAGTGAACAATTAATCCATTTTTTCAGAAAGTGTGACTCACAAAAATGTTGAAGCCCTATCTTCTTAGGCTAATGGATCTGACCAATTCAAATCAATTTTGTATGCTTAATGCTATTATACAAACAATAACAATTAATAATTGTACCTTAATAATTTTTCTTTTTTTAATACTATTTTTTGAAGGCAATAGGAGATATAAACTTAAAATATCTGTCATTTCTTGCTAGAGAATTTAAAAGTATCCTTTATACTGTTACTGGGCAATTGCCACTATGACTACCACTTTTCTTATGTCTTATTTACATTTAGTTTTAATTTAAGATTTTTATTTTATTATTTTTTTAATTTAAATTCAATTTAATTAACATTTACTGTATTATGAGTTTCTGTTGCTGGGCAATGGCCAGTATGACTACCACTTTTTTTTATATCTTACTTGCATTTAGTTTTAATTTTAAGTTTTTAAATCAAAGGTTTATTTGTTTGAATAACAGTTCTTTATTTGTACCTATAAAAGTAATATTCTAATCCTGCTTACTGAAATTAAATGTGATGGTTAGTTTTTTTTAATTATAGAAATACTGAAAATGTTGGACTTATATTGACCATTCATTGTTTGACTTGTATATTTTAAACTTTATAAACATACAGGAAGACATTACAAAGTTAAAGGATAAAATTATAACTGTAAAAGAATCTATCACTGAAAAAACTTGTTTTCTTGAAGAAGAAAAAAAGACACATGAAAAATTAAGAAAAGAAATAGAGGTAAGTCTTAATTATCTGATTTCAATGTTTTATGGTATCATTTCTTAAGCTTATACCGTATTTATAATTTCCATAGTTTACTCTCAATTTCTAAAACAGCTAGAGAACAAAAAAGAACTATAAAAAGTAGTAAAGTTCAAATCATTAATAGAGATAACTCCCTCATTTAGATACTTAAATATGTGAAATGTATTCAAACAAAGCAAGCACTCATTCTTAAAATGTGGCCTAGAATTATTGTAGGTCTCATTCCACCAACACCTTGGTTCTTAATTAATGTCTAGAAAGCAGAGATTATCAAGTCAAAAAGGATGACCATTACTAGAGAGACATCAGAAACTCCTTAACATAGAGTAAGAGACAATGGAAGTCATTAGTATTCTAAACCTCTCTGACTTTATATTTTCTGTTATTAAGAATAAAAAAAAAAACTGATATGCAAAACTGAAAGTGAGATTAAATTTGGGGTACCACTAGTAGACTTCTATGGTCATTATTATTTAAATGAATGGAGAACAAAAATGGAAAAGAATCTGTTGTTGAGGGCAAATAAATAATTTTCACCCTTAAGACATTAATTTGAAAACTAAAAAGATGCATTTGCTTGTGACTAATTTGCTTATGGCTAATTTGTCACAATAGGAAAGCATCTGAGGAATTTGAAGATAAAAATCCTCACCTTTACAAAACATTTATCTAAGAAACATCATTACTTTATCTTACATTTTTCTAGTAATCTGAATAAGTGATTTTTTTTTACCTCCTAGATCAAGATTTATTATAAAATTATAAATAGTAAGACACTATCAGTGGCATCAAAATAGAAATAAAATGACTAATGAAATAGAAATAAGAATACAGATATAATCATTCATAAATGGTACAAACGAAATAGGTTAGCCATATGGAAAAATAAAGCAAATTTAGAAATAAAATTGTATTTCTGTCTTATAACACACACATATAACCATTTCCAGGAAGATTAAAGACAGTATAAGAGACAAACTTACCCACTTATGTCAGAGAAGTATTTCTTTTAAAAGACACACACTCAAACTGCATGATTAAATATTACTTTTGACAATATCATAAATTTCTAATTATTAATAATAAATGCACCGTAACAATAGAGAAGAGAATACTCATTTTGAGAGAAGGTATTTGTGATTTATATAAGTGACTAAGAGATAAGATGTCAAACAAACCAATAGAACATTGAGTAAATGATATGAAAAGTCTTATTTTTTGAAACATGAATATTTAAAAAATAATGGGAAAAATCACTAACCTAATTAATAATAGCAGACTAATAATTAAAACCACAATGGGGTTCCATATTTAGTCCCTCAGATTATCAATATTATAGTTGGTAATATGTGGAGCACTTGAATTTTAATATACTATTGGTATGAATGTAAATTGGTAAAAAGCATTTTGGAAAGGAATTTGAGATTACCTATTAATTTTTTACTCTAATCTTCTTTATTGAGGTATAATTATAAGAGTAAGTACACAAATTAAAAGGTTTAGTTTGATTAATTTTGACTAAGATATATATTTACACCCATGTTACCATTACCTAGATCAAGATGTAAAACTTGCCCATTTGTGCTTAGGAAATTCTTTTGTGCCCCTTTCCTTAGGCTACCACTATTCTGATTTTTAAAAACAACTTTATTGAGATACAATTCACCCATTGAAAGTGCACAATTCAGTGATATTTGGTATATTCACAGATAATTTGTAACCATTACTTCAGTTAATTTTAGAAATTTTCATCACCTCAAAACAGAAATTCCATACCCATTAGCTATGACCTCTCCATTTGTCTATTGTATTTACCTATATATAGAGAGAGAGAGTTTTGATTTTCACTTTTCAAAAAGTAAACAATGTAATTCAGTACATTAACAAAATTGAAGGAGTTAAAAAGAAATAATTTGATAGTTGCAGAAACAGCATTAGACAAATTTCAACACCATTCATAATAACAACGCTCAGCAAATTAAGAATAGAATTCTAGGAAACTTTCTCAGCCTAATTAAGGGCATCTATAAAACAACTTACAGCTAACAACATCATGTTTACTACAAAATGTTCAATGATTTTCCCCCAAAGATAGGAAATAAGGCAAAGATGTATTATCCTACCTAAAACATCATATTAGAGATCCTAATCAGTGCTATAAGGCAAGAGAAAATAAGGCATAAAGATTGTAAAGAAGTAAAATTATATTTACAGACAGCATGATTGCTTATGTAGATTCCTAAAGAATCTACAAAAAGACTAATAAGCAAGTAAATTTAGTAAGGTCACAGGATAAAAGGTTAAAACAAAAAATCAATTGTATTTTTTTCTATTCTATTTCCATTCTATATAGATTCCATGAAGTAGCAACAAGCAACTGAAAAGTGAAATGAATAAAATAAAACTCTTCATTGACACTAAAGAACATAAAATATTTGCTAAGAAATTTAATGAAAAAATCTATAAAACTTCTATAATAAAAATACTAATGAGAAATTAAAGAACAATAAATGGAATGATATAATATGTTCATGATTTATAAAACTCAATATTTTAGTGTCAACTTTCTCCAAAAATGATCTATAGGTTCAACACCATTCCATAAAAAAATCCCAGTAGATATTTTTTGTAGAAATTTACAAGCTGTTCTAAAATTTATACACAAATGCAAAGGATCTAGTTAGCTAAAACAAACTTGAAAAAGAAGAATAAAGTTGTAATACTGCCCTGATATTAAGATTTATTATGAAGCTACAATTATTAAGAAACTGTAGTATTGGTGAAAGAATAAATAAATGGACCAATGGAACAGAACACAGTTCAAAAATCAATCACACTTTGTTAATTTGACAAACATGTCAAGATAATTCCATGAAGAAAGGAAATGGTGCTGGAACAACTGGGTATCTGTCTGGAAACAATGAACCCCTGTGCCTACTTCACAACATACATAACACTGCATTTGAAGTAGATCTGAGATCTAAATGTAAAAGCTAAAACCGTAAAGCGTCTAGAAGAAACCATAGGAGAATATCTTCATTTAGATTTGGGTTAAACAAAGATTTCTTAGAACACAAAATGCACTAACCATAATGGAAAAAATTGATACATTGGACCTTAAACTTTGAAACCTCATTCTTCAAAAGATGCTCTCAAGAAAATGAAAAGATAGAGGTGCCTGGGGTGGCTCAGTTGGTTAAGCATCCAACTCTTGATTTTGGCTCAGACCGTGATCTCTGGGTTGTGAGATTGAGCCCTACCCCCAACAGGGAGCCTGCTTAAGATTCTCTCTCTGCTGGGGCACCTAGGTGGCTCAGTCGTTAGGCATCTGCCTTCGGCTTGGGTCATGATCCCAGGGTCCTGGGATCTAGCCCCACATCGGGCTCCTTGCTCAGTGGGAAGCCTGCTTCTCCCTCCCCCACTCCCCCTGCTTGTGTTCCCTCTCTCGCTGTCTCTCTCTCTGTCAAAAAATAAATAAAATCGTTATATATAAAAAGAAAAGGATTCTCTCTCTGCCTCTCCCTCCACACCCACCCACCACCCCCTCCCCCCACTTAAAAAAAAAGGAATGAAAAGACAAAATCATAGGAGTAAAAATATTTGCAATACATATAGCTGAGAGAAGACATATCAAAGGCCTATATATAAAGAACTCTTAACAATCCATTTTAAAAATGAGCAAAAGATATAAACAAATTTCATAGAAGACATAGGATGGCCAGTAAGTACATGAAAAGATGCTCAGCATCTTTAACCACCAAGGAAGTGAAAATTAAAACCACAGTATGATATCATTTCATAACCAATAGAAAGGTTAAAATTACAATGAATGATAATACCAAATGTCAAGGGTGTGGAGCAACTGAAAATCTCTTGCATTTTTGGTGAGATTATAAAATGGTGCAACTGCTTTAGAAAATGGTTTGGCAGTTTATTAAAAAGTTAGCACATACTTATTGTATGTTTCAACAATTCCATCCCTACGTGTTTACTCAAGAAAAAAGAAAACATATGTCTTAAAATAAAACTTGCATATGAATATTCATAGAAGCTTTATTCATAATAGCCCCAAAAGAGAAACACTACAAATGTCCCTCGAAAAGAGAATGGATAAACAAATTGAGGAATTTCCATGTTATGGAATACTATTCAGTGATAAAAAGAATGAAATACTGACACACACAACATGGGTGTATACATTTGTCAAAAGTCATTTAACCATAGCCTTAAAAATCTGTGTATTTATACTTCCATAAATATATTTAACCATAATTTTAGATTAAACAACCAGAAGAGAAGTTACAGGACATGTTCAAATGGTAACCAGTAAGCTCCAAGTCTTTTAAGTGCAGCATTTTCTCCATGGTAAAACAATGACATTTTAGGAGTCTTTGTTACATTCTGAACAATACAGAATTTAGTAATATATTTTATATAACATTCTTCTCAAAGTAGGGTAGCAGTCATTTGGTTTCCAACTATTCATATATTTATTCAGTAATTTATTCAACTTACTTATTGAGCTCATACTATGTGCTAGTTACTCTTTTAGGCTCTGACAATAGAGTGGTGAATAAAATAGCACATGACTCCTTCACTTTTCTATGTGTGTGCTACATTCTTCATAAAACCCTTTCTAATATATGTCTTCATGAACTTGCCTTCTAGTTGAAGAGACAGACCTAAACAAGATGTGTAAGACATACAGCATGTTAGCTAAGGATAGGGTTAAGAACAACAACAAAAAAATGGAGCAGAGAAGGGAATATGTAATACATGTATTGCAGGGAGAGAGAAGGTGAAATATTAGATCTTGCAGCCATCAAAATCTTTACTGAGTAGGTCTCTTTCAGCAAAATCCTAAAAGAAGTGAAGGAGAGGCATGCAGATCTGAGGAAGAGCTTTCCAGGAAAAAGAAAAAGCAAGTGTAAAGGTCTTAAGATGAGAACATACGTTGGCTCAGAGAATAGAACAGTGTGGCTAGAATGGAGGGAACAACAACAAAAAAAAGTAGTGAATGAGATGAGATTTGGCTTATACAGGGCTTTGCTTTCTTTTTGCCACTGTGTTTTGTGGGCACCACCCCTCCTTCACTATTGCTCTTAGTTCTGCCTAGCCAGCAACAGTAATTAATGAATTTAGTAGCCCATCCACTTCCTAGAGGCAAAAAGTTATGTTCTATACAGAACCATTTACATCCTTAGTGCCTACAGATATTCAAATTTGAATATTAAGATACATATCAAAGTCTCAATGTTACCAGTAGAGGCTGAACAAATGCCTGTCTTTCAAGAAGGCTCACAATGCGACCGTTGCCTTTATAAAGTCACTTCTTGTCTCTCCCTCTTCTTTTTTCCCTTTGCTCATTTGGTGGTGGTGGTGGTTGGTGGTGGTGACGTGTGTGTGTGTGTGTGTGTGTGTGTGTGTGTGTGTGTGAGATGTTTTATTTGGTTGTGTTTGTTTGTTTAGTTTCAAGTTTTTATTAAATTCCATTAGTTACCAGAGGGGAGGTGGGTGGGTGACAGGTGAAATAGGTGATGGGGATTAAGGAGTGCACCTGTGGTGATGAGCACTGGGTGACATATGGAATTGTTGAATCACTATATTATACGCGTGAAACTAATATAACACTAAATGTTAACTGGAATTCAAATAAAACAAAATAAGATAAATGAAATATTGGCATGTGAAAAAAAGTCACTTTTTGGTCAAAACTGCCTTTTAGCCTTGTGAACTTAGAAATTTAATCTTGTTAGTGTCCCAGTGTTCAGTAGACCTGGAGAGATGCTAGTAGAGTTCACAAGAAACTGATGTATGAAACTCAAATACCAGTTTATTAATTTACAATAATAAAACTCTCAAGGAAACCAGATAACTTATGTCAGTCATTAGTGCTTCTTCTTCCTTATAAGGAAACTACAGTGGAAACCAAATTATCACAAATTTTTAGTTAGTGAGCATGGAAATCAAGTCAATCATCTGAGTTTGACTGTTCTTGGCCTCTGGCTCTGGGCGCTCAAGCCAATCTCCATAACAGAGTTATACTTGTGTCAGATAAATAGACACTACCAGTGCATGACTCCTTCACCTTCCTATGTATGTACTACATTCTTCACAAAACCTCTTCTGAAGATATTCTTTCTTTAGATACATTCTTTCTTTAGCTACATTAATATCATCTGTGACATCTAGCTATGACTGGTGATCTGGGAGGGGACTTTGCACATTTCTACTCTGATCCATTGTCTATTAGTTTCATAGCTTAACTAATGAAGAATAATTTTAGAAATATGCTACTGTGCAACTGACCAAATGTATTGATTAACCAAAAATTTGTTTTAGTTATTTTATTTCTATGAATATATTTTATGAACAGGAGTATGGGCATATTTAGTTATTATGCTCTCCCTATGAATATATTCTATTGAATATACCAATGAATATATATCATATATAAATATGTATAGTGAATATATATTTTTAAATAGAAATATATTCAATGTTTAAAAAATCTTCTTTTGAATATAGCTTCATATCTAATATGATGTTTCAATTTAAACTAATTTATTTCTAATCCTTTTCAAGTCATTTTTTTATTTTGCCAACATACCAGTAGGCCTGGTTCACCAATTTCAATGAATTATCTGAATTTACAGAATTAACAAAAACTGGAGACTTAAAAAGACAAAGTTTATAGAAATTTATGTGAATTTTTAGTTGACAAGTTTTCACTTAATTTTTACAGCAGTACTTTGGAATACTTAGAGTGTCTTGGTCCCTGTTCCTCTGCTACTGCTGCAGAGTTGTGTTTCAATATAATTGATTTCCTTTGTAATTGTGCATGTTTTATTTGATGCATTAAAAACATTATTCTAAGGAGTCCATAGTCTTCACCATACTGTCGAAAGAACCCATGGCATAATAAAAGTAGAGAAGCCATGCTGAGGGAGGAGCTTGGAAACAGGAAGTATCCTTTGCTGGGGGAAAAGCAGAGAGGAGATTCAAGATGTGGAGAAATTTGAACCCTCACACAGGAATCATGGGAATGTAAAAATGGTGCCGTCACTATGGAAAACAGTCTGGCAATTCCTCAAGTGGTTGAACATAGAATTACCATGTGATCTCAGTTCTACTCCTAGGTATAGACCCTATAGAAGTGAAAATATAAATCCACACAAAAACTTGCACATGAATGTTCATAACAGCATTGTTCATAATAGCAAAACCTGGAAACAAATGTCCATTATCTGATGAATTGGGTAAATAAAATTTGGTATTATTCTACAATGGAATATTATTTGGCAATAAAAAGTAATGAAGTACTAATACATGCCACAACATGGTAGACCCTTAAAAGGATTATGCTAAGTTGAAGAAGCCAATCAGAAAAGACCATATACTGTATGATTCCACTTATAAGAAATATCCAGAATAGGCAAATCTATATAAAGAAAAGGTTAGTAATTGTCTAGTGCTAAGAGTGGGGGTGTGGGAATGGGAAGTCACTGCTAACGGGTACTACCTTTCTTTTTGAGGTAATGTAAATGTTCTAAAAATTGATTGTGGTAGCAGTTGCACAACTCTGAATGTACTAAAACCCATTGAATTGTCCACTTTAAAGGATGGATTGTATGATATGTGAATTATATCTCAATAAAGCTGTCTTAAAAAAGAAGATTGGGTATTTTTTGTATAGCTAACACTAATATTAGGAATTTTTTCCTTTCTACTTTCTCATGGCCTGACACCAAAAGCCTTGCACTTTCCACTGTGCTTCATTGCCTTCCAGTGTAGTAGCACCGTCTGGCTCAGCATAAATATACTGCTCTACTTATTATTATGACTATATGATCTTTTGGATCTTTGAGATGGATGGGTCTCAATGAACCACTGGATATAGGGAATGAAACCATTTCTCCTAACTGGTAACTATTTTGATAACTCGAAGGCACTCCATCACAGGTGCTTTGCTTGAATTCAGATCTCAAACACTATCACTTGCTAGCTATGAAGCCTTGGTTGAATTACTTAAACTCTTCAATCTTCAGATTTTTTTGTACAAAAATGGAGATAATAATATCTATCCACATCATATGATATTATGAGAATTTAATTATATCTAAAAAGCTCTCAGTATAGTATCTAACATGTAATAAGTGTTGAATAGTTATTATTACTGTTTATTTTTATTACCATTATTATTTACAGTGAGTAATTTCTAATCAAGTGTTTTCTTCTTTAGAGTAGTCAAAATATCCTTTATGGCCATTTACTACTTATCCTTCTCAAGCCCTGTTGACATGTACTCTTCTTTTAATAGGTGCAACATAAGAGATATGGTGCAATTCTTAAGCGTTTGCATTGTCAGGTGAACAAGCTTCAGTCAAATAAAAGACAATGGCAATGGAACATTCACCAATTGGAAAAAACTGCAGCTGAACTAAGAAAACGCATTGGAATGAAAGATTAACATGGCCAAAGGGCAATGTAGAACACAGACTATGCCAACAAAAATGATAGGACAAAAGGTTCAGAAAATTCTTTGGATTCTTAACCAGCATCCACTAACAGAGGTCTGTCTTAATAACATATATTTTCTCTTTTTTTTTTGAATTGGTTAATCTGTTTGCTAAAGTGCCTTCCAAGCCTGCAATTGATAGTAGTAGATAGACAATAGGAATGCTTACAGAAGAATAGTGGAAGACTCTGTATAAATATTTTGAGTATGTAAGATATAACTCTATTCATGAATGCCTATTTATAAACATGTTGCCTTCACTATCATATGAAGTAAAAATGTCGAAGAAAAGAAACACATAAAGTTACAATGATTTAAATTGTTATATTTTAAATGATTCTGTTTCAAATTTTTTATTAAAACTTGCTTTTTTACTACTGTCTTCACAGTAGTCCATAAATATTGACATTTACAATAATGTTGTATGTTCAATGCTTCAGGTATTTTACTTTTTATCTTATTCAGAAGGTAACAATCATTTTTTCTTTGTTATTAGATAACACAGTTTTAGAGTGTTGCAAGGCATAAAAATTTTTGTTTACTTTTCTGTCTTTAAATTCTTTAGTACTATTCTGTGAAAAATTTGAAGTTATAACATCATTATAAGGTAAATACCAGCTCGTAAAAAAAAAAAAAAAAAGAATGTTAGAGTGTAGACTACTGTGTATTTTTTTCTCACTGAAAGTTATATGCTATGTCCATAGCAACATTTCAAAATTTAACTTGTCCATATTAAGATAAAAGTGCTCCTTCTCATGGCTCCACTGAATCAAATTTTTAGGAACAGAAAAAATATTATTGAAGATAATGGTTTTTAAATATTTACTTTTAGGATTTAATGCTTTCAAAGCAACAACATCAAAAAGGTATCTCAAGTTCATTTTCTCCTCACCTTTCTTCATGCCTAAGACTAAGTAAGAGGATAGCTGATATAAAACCTGATATTAATAATCTTGTTATGTCTAACATTAATAATCCTATTATGAATTAACATGGCTTATTATAGCTAACACTTCAGATGGCTTTACTGTAACACAATCAACTTTGGCACATGACTCAGAAATGCAGTTACAAATAAAAATGGTTAAACCTACAGATTGTAGAGAGTACCCACTATGCTCAGCTGAAGACAAGGCTGAAACCTTTTAAGGCTGATTGTATAAAAATATTTCAATTTAATTTGCATATTTAAAAGGCTATTTTTATAACTATACTTCATAATTTTATTTAGTTTATAAAAGAAAAAGAGTTTTCTAAACTCTTTTAAAGTTTATAATAGGTTTCAAAATATTTGTACCTGATAGCTAACTCCTTGAGTTATATTTGTGAAAGTTATTTTTCAATTAAGATATAACAAAATAGGTTTAATCTGTTTAAGATAATGTGCCTATTTGAGAAAGTAATTTTCAGTGTAGTGTTCTGAAGTACCCATGATAATAATACATGTACCTATTTAAAATTTTGTGACAGATGAAAGTATTATTTGAACAAGAAATTTTTCCTTTCCTTGCTCTTTATAATCTTGAAAATCATTTCAGATGATGGATGCTCTCAGATTAGCCAAGAAGAACTAAAGCTTGGGGTATCGTCAAGCCTGATCATATAGTTAGTGGATGTGATATCTCAATATGGTCACAAACTCTAAAGTTAGAAAATGAATTAATTTTAAAAATTTCTCTAGAACTTAACCTAGCTTAGAATATGAGCTCTTCTGCTTAAAGGCCTTTGTCACATACACTTTTGCCTTAAAATTCGGTCTCTTTTGGTTATCATTCAGTTCAGAATTCTCCTTCTCATTTTCTTCCTGGAAGTAACCTAAATTCCTGGGGCAGGGATTGGGGGGTACATTTATGTTGTTTTGTCATCAGGGGAAGGGTCCTGGTGCAAGTGCCATTCTCACTGGCCTCTGCAGAGGTGTAATCGATCTTCTTGGTCTTGAGCATTACCTTTTGTCTATGCTGTACCTGCAGTTGTTTTCTCTAGTCAATGTGGTCAGCCTCCTTACCCAATCACAAAGCCTCTTCTGGTCATATTTAATTCTCTTTTTCTGTATGCAGGCCAAATTTTACCTCTTTGCGGCCTGCTGTTCTACCCATGCATTCTTCCTTACTCAGATTTCTGGTATAAAATGAGTCTTTCAAGTCTCTCAGTGCTTTGGGGCTCAGCAAATTCTTCTCTCAAAATGCCCCTTTTCTGCAAAGTAAAGCTATGATTTCAACAATATTGTTTCTACTGCGAACTTTTTAAAAGGCTTAATGTGAAACTCAAAACTGATAAATGACTTCTTAATTCTGAGTAGTGTCTGTCCTGACTCCAGCCTGCTAGGTTCTATTACCTAAATGATCAGGAAAAGGTAACTAATCCAAGGAAGCAGTAGGAGGGAAAAAAACCTATAGTGAAATATCAAAATATTACTTACTACATGTGCAATCTATGGGCAAATTATAATTGACCAATGTGAAGAAATTGATATCTACTTTTAAGCCATATATTAATAGTGGTGATTTCCATTGTCAAAGCAGCCATCATGGATAGTGTCACGGCCAATATGAATGATCTATATGTTATCTGTTAGGCTATATTCTTCTACTCAATTGATTAACCATGCTATTTTCCAAAACACTGCAGATGTGAAATAGCAACACTAATAACAGACTGAGTAACTACCCTGTGTCCTATTTGGCAATTTGTATAAATTAGTTCATTTACAGAATAATGAGAATAATGGCTTAAAGTATATATTATCCTTGATTTACTGATGGGGAAACTGAGGCTTGGTAACTTGCTTAAGATTTTATCACACAAGTCATCAGGATCAGAGTTGAAATTCATTGCCCTATTTTTTTAGCTACATAAAATACCCTGCAAGAAATGATTCCAAGGCAAGCCTCGATTTTACTATGAATAAATAATTATTTATTTGTATATTTAATCAATTCTTTTAATAGATTACAAGGCATAAGATGAATTTAACTAAAGAGAGAAATCTTATGATTAAAAAACAGGTTTCAGGGGTGCCTGCATGGTTCAGTCGGGTAAGCATCTGACTCTTGATCTCAGGGTCGTAGGATTGAGCCCTGTGTGGGGCTCTGTACTCAGTGTAGAGTGTGCTTGGGCTTCTCTCTCTCTCCCTCTCCCTGCCCCTCTACCCCTCCCTTCTCTCTCTCTCAAAAAAATCTTTAAAAAGGGGGGGTTCCATGTATAAGTCACAACACCATCCTAACAAGTGAAAAGCTGATAGGCTGAAAAATTAATAACTCCTCTTGGATCCCTAAGAGAGGTAAGGACAAAGGAAAAACCACTGTCTCTGAAGTTGGAGAGACAGGTAGGCAAATACAGGGAGTCACAGTGACCAGAGCAGAGACTCATAAACCACCACAGGAAACAGTGTTAGGATAGCAAAACCTAACTGTAATTTATAAAATTTCTGGAGTCTTGGTGTAGACAACTCTAAGAGTTAAAAACTCCAGGGGAGCCCAGTCAGAAGGAGGTCCCCACAATATTATGAGATTTACCTCCAGATAAGAATTACATCTGACTTCTCAGGAACCATGCAAGCAAGCAGAGAATGATGTGAAATATTTAAAGTGTTGGAGGGGGGAAAAACCCACCAACCTAGAATTCTGTACCCTGTGAAACTATCCTTCAGAAGTGAAGGAGCAGTAAATATTTTCTCAGACAAATTGAGGGAATATGTTGCCAGTAGACCTGCCTCACAGGAAATGTTAAAGAAGTTCTTTAGAGAAAACAAAAATAATATAGGTCAGAAATTTAAATCTACATAAAGTAAGGAAAAGCATCAAAGAAGGAATAAGTGAAGGTTAAACAAAAACTTTTACTTTTATTATTCTTTATTAATCTAACAGATAACAATTTGTTGAAAATAGGGCACCTGGGTGGCTCAGATGGTTGGGCATCTCCCTTTAGCTCGGGTCGTGATCTCAGGGTCCTGGGATCAAGTCCCACATCGGGCTCCCTACTCGGCGGGGATCCTGCTTCTCCCTCTGCCTCTCTCTCTGTCTCTGTCTCTTATGAATAAATAAATAATAAATAAATAAATAAATCTTAAAAAAACCAATTTGTTCAAAATACTAATATTAGGAACAATGTATTCATATATATGCTTATGTATATACAAATATGTTATTAATGCTTCTATATTTGGAATGAATGACAGCAATTACACAAGATATGGGAGGAAAGAATTAAAATTATTTTGTTATTATAAGATTCTTATTCTACCAGTGAAATCTTATAGTCTTATTTGAAAGTGGACTTGGATTGGTTGTAAATGTATATTACAAACTCAAGAGCAACCACTAAAAAAAGTTTAAAAAGAAGTATAACAGATATTCTCCAGAAGAGAAAATGTAATCACATAAAATGCTTGATTAAAACCACAAAAGGCAGAAAAAGAATGAGAGACAAAAATTATGAACCAAAAACAAGGGCAACAAACAGAAAATATTAGCAAATATGCTAGGTATTAATCCAACTATATCAATTATCACTATGAATGTCAATGATGTAAATGCACGAGACAGAGATTATCAGAGTGGATCAAAAAAACACAAGTTATATGGTGTCTATATGAAACCACTTTATTTTTTATTTTATTTATTTATTTACTTACTTACTTATTTATTTAAGAGAGACAGAGGAGGGACGACAGAAGGTGCAGGAGAAGCAGACTCCCTGCTGACCAGGGAGCCCAATGCAGGGCTCGATCCCAGGACCCTGGAATCATGGCCTGAGCAGAAGGCAGACACTTAACCGACTGAGGCACCCAGGTGCCCTGAAACCACTTTAAATATAAAGACACATAGGGGCGCCTAGGTGGCTCAGTCATTAAGCGTCTGCCTTCGGCTCAGGTCATGATCCCAGGGTCCTGGGATCGAGCCCCGCATCGGACTCCCTGCTCCACGGGAACCCTGCTTCTCCCTCTCCCACTCCTCCTGCTTGTGTTCCCTCTCTCGCTGTGTCTCTCTCTGTCAAATGAATAAATAAAATCTTAAATAAATAAATAAATATAAAGACACATACAGATGAAAAGTAAATGGATAGAGAAATATGCCATGCTGACATTAATAATAATAATAAAAAAAACAGGAGTAGCTGTATTAATTTCATAACTGAGCAGACTTCAAAGTAAGGAAAGTTATCAGAGATAAAGAAGGACATTACATAGTAATAAAGGGGTCAATTCTCCAAAAAGACATAACAGTCCTTAATGTGGATGCATCTAATAACAGAGCACCAAACTATGTGAAGCAAAACCTAATAGAACTGCCAAGGAGAAATAGATAACTCCACTATCATAGTTGCAGACTTCAATATCACTGTATCAGAAATGGACAGAATGGGCGCCTGGGTGGCTCAGTTGGTTGGGCGACTGCCTTCGGCTCAGGTCATGATCCTGGAGTCCCAGGATCGAGTCCCGCATCGGGCTCCCTGCTCGGCAGGGAGTCTGCTTCTCCCTCTGACCCTCCCCCCTCTCATGTGCTCTCTCTCTCATTCTCTCTCTCTCAAATAAATAAATAAAATCTTTAAAAAAAAAAAAAGAAATGGACAGAATGATCAGACAGAAATTCAGTAAGGATCCAGGTTAATGCACCAACATTATCAATCAACTGGATACAACTCACACCTATGCATTACATCGTCCAACAACAGCAGACTACATATTTTCTCAAGTTTACATAGAACATTCACCAAAATAGACAAAATTCTAGGCCGTAAAACATACTTAGATGAATTTAAAAGAGTAAAAATCATAAAATATCTGCTCTCAGACCACAATGGAATTAAATTAGAAATCAGTAACAAAAACATAACTGGAAAAATCTCCAAATAGGTAGAGGTTAAATTACATACTTCTCAATAAATAGATCAAAGAAGAAATCTCAAGAAATTTTAAAATATTTTGAACTAAATGAAAATGAAAACACAATTTATCTAAATTTGTGGAATGCAGTAAAATCAGTGCTTAGATGGAAATTTATGGCATTGAATGCATAAGAAGAAAGATCTAAAATTAATCATCTAGGGGCACCTGGGTGGCTCAGTCATTAAGCGTCTGCCTTCAGCTCAGGTCATGATCCCAGGGTCCTGGGATCAAGCCCTGCATCAGGCTCCCTGCTCCATGGGAAGCCTATTTCTCCCTCTTTCACTCCCCCTGCTTGTGTTCCCTCTCTTGCTGTGTCTCCCTCTGTCGAATAAATAAACAAAATCTTTAAAAAAATAAAATAAAATTAATCATCTAAATTCCCACATTAGGAAACTAGGGGGAAAAAGTAACTTATTTCCAAAGTAAGTAGAAGAAAAGAGTAAGATTTAGAGCAAAAATCAATGAAATCAAAAGCAGGAAATCAGTAGAGAAAATCGATGAACCAAAAGCTAGTTCTTTGAAGAAATCAGTAAAATCACTGAACCTCTAGCTAGATTAACTAAGACAAAAAGGCCAAGACACAAATTTCTAATATCACAAATGAAAGAGGGGACATCACTATAGATCTCACAGAAATTAAAAGGATAATAAAGGAATTCTATGAAAAACTCTATGCCCACAATTTGATACCCTAGATGAAATGGAATAATTCCTTGAATGATAGAAACATTATCTGAATAGACCTATATTTTTTAAGGAATTGAATCAATAATTCACATTCCAAAACAGAAAGCACAAAGCCCAGTGGGTTCACTAGTAAATTCTTTTTTTTAATTAATTTTATTTTATTATGTTATGTTAATCACCATACATTACATCATTAGTTTTTGATGTAGTGTTCCATGATTCATTTTGCATATAACACCCAGTGCTCCATGCAATACGTGCCCTCCTTAATACTCATCACCAGGCTAATCCATCCCCCCACCCTCCTCCCCTCTAAAACCCTCAGTTTGTTTCTCAGAGTCCATAGTCTCTCTTGGTTCATCCCCCCATCCGATTTCCCCCCCTTCATTTTTCCCTTCCTACTATCTTCTTCTTCTTCTTTTTTTTTTAAACATATAATGTATTATTTGTTTCAGAGGTACGGGTCTGTGATTCATCAGTCTTACACAATTCACAGCGCTCACCATAGCACATACCCTCCCCAGTGTCCATCACCCAGCCACCCCATCCCTCCCACCCCCCTCCACTAAAGCAACCTTCAGTTTATTTCCTGAGATTAAGAGTCTCTTATGGTTTTTCTCCCTCTCTGGTTTCATCTTGTTTCATTTTTTCCTCCCTTCCTCTATGATCCTCTGTCTTGTTTCTTAAATTCCTCATATCAGTTAGATCATATGATACTTGTCTTTCTCTGATTGACTTATTTCACTTAGCATAATACCCTCTAGTTCCATCCACGTCATTGCAAATGACAAGATTTCATTTTTTGATGGCTGCATAATATTCCATTGTGTGTATATATATATATACCACATCTTCTTTATCCATTCATCTGTTGATGGACATCTTGGCTCTTTCCATAGTTTGGCTATTGTGGACATTGCTGCTATAAACATTGGGGTCCACATACCCCTTTGGATCACTACATTTGTATCTTTGGGGTAAATACCCAGTTCACTGGTAAATTCTACCAAACATTTAAGAGTTACACCCATTCTCTATAATCTCTTTCAGAGGATAGAAGCAAAGGGAATACTTTCTAACTCATTCTGTGAAGCCGGCATTACCCTAATACTAAAACCAGATAAAGACATTACAAAAAAAGAAAACTACAGACCAATATCTCTCATGAACATAAATGCAAAAATCCTCAACAAAATATGAGCAAACCAAATCCAAAAAAGTATAAAAGAAATTATATGCCATGGCTAAGTGGTATTTTTTCATTGGTACACAATGCTGGCTCAATGTCCAAAAATCAATTAACATAAACCATATCAACAGACTTAAAAAAGTAAAATCATGTGATCACATCAATAGATGCATAAAAATCATTTGACAAAATCCAAATCCAATTTATGAAAAAAACCTCAGGAAAGTAAGAATACAGGGGAATTTTCTTAACTTGATAAAGACCAAACACAAAAAATCCTACAGCCAACATCATACTTCATGGTAAGAAACTCAAAGATTTCCCACTAAGATCAGATACAAGGCAAAGATGTTCCTCTCACCATTCCTTTTCAACATCATACTGTAAGTCCTTGCTGAGGTAATAAGGCAAGAATAAGAAATAAAATGTATAAGATTGGGAGGGAAGATATAAAACTGTCTTCACAGATGACACGATCATCTAGGTATAAAATCCAAAATAATTGGGGAAAAAACCTCCTGGAACCAATAATCAATTATAGCAAGTTGCAGGGTAATATAAAAAAGTCAATGCTTTCTTATATACCAGTAGTGAACAAGTGAATATGAAATTTAAAACACAATACCGTTTATATTAGTACCCCCAAATATGAAATACTTAGGTACAAATCTAACAAAATATATACAAGATCTATATAAGAAAAACTACAAAACTCTGATGAAGGTAACCAAAAAAGAGCTACATAAATGGAGAGATATTCCATGTTCACTGGTAGGAAGACTCAATATAACCAACATGTCAGTTCTTCCTAAGTTGATCTTTTTTTTTTAAGATTTATTTATTTATTTGACAGAGAGAGATACAGAGAGAGAGGGAGCACAAGCAGGGGGAATGGGAGAGGGAGAAGCAGGCTTCCCGCAGAACGGGGAGCCCGATGCAGGGCTTGATCCCAGAACCCTGGGATCATGACCCGAGCTGAAGGCAGATGTCTAACAACTGAGCCACCCAGGAGCCCCCTAAGTTGATCTTTAGATTCAATGCAATCCCAATCAAAATCCCAGCAAGTTATTTCATGGATATTGACAAACTGATTATAAAGTTTATAGAGAGGGGCAAAAGAGAAAGAACAAAGTTGGAGGACTGACACTATTTGACGTCAAGACATACTATCAAGTTGCAGTAATCAAGATAGTGTGGTACTAGTGAAATAATAAGTCAATGTAACAGAATAGAGAGCCTAGAAATAGACCCACATAAATATATCAACTGATCTTTGACAAAGGAGCAAAGGTAATACAATGGAGCAAAGATAGTCCCATCAACAAATGGTGCTGAAACAATTGGACATCTACATGCAAAACAATGAATCTAGACATAGACCTTACACCCATCACAAAAATTAATTCAAAGTGGATCATAGACCTAAACATAAAATGTAAAACTATAAACTCCTAACATAGGAGAGTTAACATAGGAGAAAATCCAGATGACCTTGGGTATGGTGTTATCATTTTAGATACAACACCACAGGCACAACCCTTAGAATAAATAATTGATAAGCTTGACTTCATTAAAATTAAAAACTTCTGTCCTATAAAAGACACTGTCACAAGAGAATGATGAGACAAGCCACACGCTGGGAGAAAATACTTGCAAAATATCCATCTGATAAAGGACTGTTATTCAAAATAAAGAACTCTTTATAAAACTCAACAACAAGAAAAGAAACAACTAGATTTTTAAAATGGGTCAAAGACCTTAACAGACACCTCACCAAAGAAGATAGACAGGTGGCAAATAGCATATGAAAAGGTGTTCCACATTATATGTCACTAGGGAAATGCAAATTAAACAACGAGATACCACTACACACTTATTAGGATGGCCAAAGTCAGGAACACTGACAACACCAAATGCTAATAAGGATGTGGAGCAACAGGAACCCTCATTCATTGTTGGTAGGAATGCAAAATGGTACAGCCATTTTGGAAGACAGTTTGGCGGTTTCTTGTAAAACTAAACATACTTTTACCATACAATCCAGCAACTGTGCTCCTTGGTATTTATCTAAAGGAGTTAAAAAAATTGATGTCCACGCAAAAACACAGATATTTATAGCAGCTTTATCTATAATTGTCAAAGTTTGGACACAACCAAGATATCCTTCAGTAGGTGAGTGGCTACATAAACTGTGGTATATCCAAACAATGGAATATGATTTAGTGCTAAAAAGAAATTAGTTATCAAGCTATGGAAAGACATGGAGGAACCTTAAATGAATGTTACTAAGTGAAAGAAGGCAATCCGACAAGGCAACAATACTGCAGGATTCCAACTATAGGACATTCTGGAAAAGGTAAAACTACAGAGACAGTAAAAAGATCAGGTGTTGCCAGGGCTGCAGGGGCAGGGGAGAGATGCATAGGTAGAGAACAGAGGATTTTTAGGGCAGCAAAAAATACTCTGTATGATATTTAAAATGATGGATATATGTCATTATACATTTATCCAAGTCCATAGGTAGTATAACACCAAGAGTGAACCCTAAGGTAAACAATGGACTTTGGGCGATTATGACATGAAGGTACCATTCTGGTAAGTGAAGTTGATAATGAGGGAGGCTATGCATGTGTAGGGACAAGGAGTTTATGAGAAATCTCTGTACCTTCCTCTCAATTTTGTAGTAAATCTAAAACTTCTCTGAAAAAAATTAAAGTCTTTTTTTAAAAAGCACTCAAATGCATAGTTAACATTACAGGAGGGTCAATATCAGTAAACATTTTGGCTAAGGAAAGAGGGATCCTGCATATAAATATTGCTTTGGAACCTTTTAAAGTTCACATAGGTGATCACAATAAAAACCCTAATTCCTATATCACCTAACATTGAACATGGTATCCATTGCTCATATAAAAATCATTAAAGTTTATATTAATGTTAGGAGATTTGGGACTATTTTGGTGGGGGGCAGGAGAAATCAGTAGATTCAGAAGAACTTGTAGCTTTGCAACTGTTTGATTTGTTGCTTATATTTCCAATATTATAAATATTTTATTTTTCATTAAGCTAATGATTACTAAAGCTAATGATCAGGAGCTAAAAATTATATGCCTGTCAAAAATTACCTATGCTATATTTGTTTATTTGAATTTATAATGTATTCCTAAGGAAAGGATTTTTTTCTTTTCTGATAAATTTGGCAGTGTGAGTAATGGGTTTTCTATATCACATTAGTTATCATATAACTTTCTCCTGAATGTAACTGAACTATGACCAAAACCAGGAAAAATAAATTGAAAAAGCTGCTAAGAGGAGGATAGCTTTACTCAATTCATAGCTAAGAATGGGATGCTCAAATTGCTTTTTCTCTTCTATAATTTTCCATTTGAATGATGGTTTTGGGATCTAAATCTTTAGAAAAATAAAAATAGTATATGATTTGGTAATGACAGAGCTTTTTACATAATCTAGTGAAGATAGACATGAAGTAATGAAACTTAAATCCCTTGATTAATGAAATGATGTATTCCAAAAGCAAAATCAGATCTCATATGGAAATAGTTTTAAAAGGCTTCTTACCCAGAAAGCTCTCTGGCATAACGATCATGTCAAAATTGGAATAAAACACATAAATTACACGTTTTCCAATATTGCTCAGTCCACATGGCACAAGGTAATTCAGAGACAGTGATAATACACTGACAATCTAAGATACATTTTCAAATATTTTTTGTCCAAAATGTTCAAGTCAAGACATATCGTCCACCTCATCTACTATTACTTATTACTCCCTGTGACATTATTTGACAGAGTAAGACAAATGTAATCTGTGTGCTTGTATTGAAGAAGCTTCATCAAGGTGTTCTTAAGGTGTTCTTAAGACGATGCCTCCTTGAGCCCACAGTGCTTCTTGGCAAAAAAAAATAGCACGCCTGCAATCTGCATGAGTTGTTTTGTCTTCATTGACTAATGTTAACTAACTCACGTGCAGTGATCCAGCCAGATGTCAGCACATCTACTTGTGAAAACTATGTGAAAATATCACATAGTTTTCTCTTCATCCGCCTTTTCCACAGAGACTGCAGAGCCATCCTCAAGTGTCTGTCATTCTTTAGAATGAGACCTCTTTGGGGACACTTCCATCCCTTAGGTGTAACATTAACTTTGCTGGGTTGTTAGATAATGTTGATATTATTTTAATTTGTGGTTCATAATGATTTATATAAAGCACTCACTTTTCCAGAAAGTTCCAGTCTTTTTCTAATATTTCAGTAATTTGGATTATTCATCTTCCAAGCCTTTCAGTCTCAATCTGTCAATATCATTTACTCCTGCATAGTTTTCTAATAACTAGTGTAACTCTCTCATTTTCTTACATTTCTTTCCATTAAAAATGCAGGAGAGGAAAAATGAAGGGGGGGAAATTGGAGGGGGAGATGAACCATGAGAGACGATGGACTCTGAAAAACAAACTGAGTGTTCTGGTGGGGGGAGGATGGGTTAGCCTGGTGATTGGTATTGGAGATGGCGTGTTCTGCATGGAGCACTGGGTGTTGTACGCAAACAATGAATCATGGAACACTACATCGAAAACTAATGATGTAATGTATGGTGATTAACATAACATAAGAAAAAAAATGCCATGTCTTCATTCAGAGCTCACACTTTGATTTTAAATCAAAGTCTGAATATTTATAAATACCAAAACTTTTTAAAAAAATGCTTTTCTAGAAAATGAAATTATGCTTTTAGTTTAGCTCTAATGAAAGTAAACATGCTTAACAAGCCACAAGAAATACGTTTTTGTCTTCTTCAATTACAAATACTTTGATTGAACAGTGCTTTTAAAGAGTTTTATATATTGAAAAATTAGGTAAATTGTTCTATCCTTTAGAAAAGAAAGCTATAATAAGCTTTATGAAAATACAACTCAACAAATGAGACTGTATGGGAATAGAAAGAAAATCTGTATTAAAAATGGAAATTAAAAAAATGGAAATCAGAACATTTCTCTTAATAGAATATTGTACATTAATCATAAATTTAATGCATATTTAGGATAATTTGGGGAAATTTCACTTTGTTTTTATTGTTTCTATATGGGTTATACATAATTATGAAGTTTAACTATAATTTTAATATAATTTTACCAATACTACACTTTATATCTTTCCTAATTATATTTGTAGCAAAATCATTTTCGGGAAACCAGCTTTCTAAGTCTATTATATTACTTTTAACGCCATTGAAAATAGCCTCTTTTTTAATCACTTTCAAATATTCTTCACTTTTTTCCCTTAGAATTACAATATTCCATTAGCTGATGGCACAGGGGTTTTGAGCACTTTTCAGGGTTTTGGCATCAGAGGTATCCTTAACCATGCTTATTAGGCCTTTGAGAGTACTAATTTTCTCATACAAAGGGAGTTTTGAGCTTTCATTAGGATGTTTCCCAGATGCTTTAATTTTCAGATACAGTTTAGTACAATTATGGCTGCTTTAACCAGGGTTATTTGAAAAATAATCTACATAGAGAAATGGAAAAGCACCAAGTAGTTGATAAGCAGCCATAGTAACATGGTTTAATATCCCATATACCAAAGGGAAAATGTGTATTCTGTGATATTAACTATTGTAATTGCTAATACATCACGATTTCAGCAAATAAATTCGATATTCTCCCAAGTCCTTGAAATTGTATGCATTCTTTGAATCGGAATTAAAATGTAGCACTATTTAAAATGGTGGGCACTAGAGAGGAGTGAATAAAAAATGAAAGGCCAAATATACCTTATTAAATACTGGAAAAAGTGTTTATTAATATGCATATTACCAAGAGTATGAATTCACTGAGTTAAGAGAAAATGTAAATTGCAAAACATTATGAACAATATATTTTAACTACATTTTTTAAAAAGTGACTATGAGTTGTGTTTCAAGAAGCTAGGAATATTTAGCCCATGTCCAGCCCAACTACTGTTTCTCTGGGCTAAATATCCCCCATTCTTTTGTAACAACTCATATGATGTAAGTTCAAGTTCCTTCACTATCCTAGTCACATCTCTCTGGTTACACTCTACCTTGATATTGACCTATGAAAGGTGCAGACCAGAATTTGATACTTAAGGTATATAGTCTGATCAGCTGTTGGTAGAAGCTATTTCATCCTATATTTGAGACTCCGTTTTATAATAATGCAACCTAAGTTTACAAGGGCAACTTGGGTTGTCATTGTTCCTGGCTTTTTCAGTGGGCGGAATTAGGAGATATAAGTATTTTTAGACAAAAAAAATCATGAATTTATACTGTATTTCCAACTCAATGATTATATGTAGTTTTACTTAACATCTTCAATTTCATATGTGTATTTTTTCCCTCTGATGCTGAAAATCTTAGTTGTTAAATCACATTAATATGAATATTGTTTCAAAATAAAAATGATGTTATTTTTAACAATAATATACTTTCAGATCAATCTTTTTAGGTAGAGTCTTTCCAATTTCTTTTTTATAGCTACATAGCTTTCCATTCTAATGGATATCCATAACTTATTCTTTTTTTTTTACCCTCCCTGTCCCCATATAGCTTATTCAACTCTTAATGAACATTTGAGTTTTTTCTAATCTTTTGCTACTATAAATAGTACTGTAATGAATGTCTCCTTGTGAAAATGTCATTTTTTAAGATTTTATTTATTTTAGAGAGAGAGAGAGAGAGAATGTGAGTGGGGGAGGGGAGAGAGAGAATCTCAAGCAGACTCCACTGAGCATGGAGCTCAAAGCAGGACTCAATCCCAGGACCCTGACATCCCATAACCTGAGCCAAAATTGGGTACTCCACACTCAGCTGACTGAGCCACCCAGGTGTCCCTGTCATTTTTTTTTTTTAAGAGAGGGAGAGACAGAGGAGGGGGAGGTTTTAGAGGGAGAGGGAGAGAGAGAATCTTAAGCAGGCTCCACACCCAGCAAGGACCTTGAGGAGGGGCTGGATCGCACAACCCTGAGATCATGACCTGAACCGAAATCAAGATTCAGATGCTTAACTGACTGAGCCACCAAGGCGCCCCAAAAATGTCATTTTCTATTTTAGCCAGTATATCTTTGGAATAGATTCCTAGAAGTAGAATTGCCAAGTTGAATTTTATATATAATTTACATATATATGGATATATATATATATAATTTTGCTTGATATTACCAAATTTTTCTCTGTGATGTTGAACCATTTTGTATTTCCATCAACAACAACATATGAGACTGCTTGCTTCTCCAAAGTCTTGCCATCAGACTACATTGTCAAGCTTTTGGACTTTTGCCCACATGATAGGAGAGTGGACTTTTATATAAATGCATTTTAATTGACATTTCCCTAATAATTGAATTTGAGCAACTTTCATATGTTTAAAGGCCATAAGCATTTCTTTTTCTGTGAATTCTTTTTATGTTTTCCCTTTTAAAAAATTGAGTTGATGACTTTTTCTTCTCAATTTTTTGGGACTTATATTGCTCATATAAGCAATAAAAATCCTTTGTTGTTGTTTATTGTGGTAAAATATATATAACATAAAATTTATCATTTTAACTATTTTTATGAGTACAGTTCAGTAGCATTAAGTATATTCAAACTATTGTGCTGTTACCATCAACTCTCACTCCCAACCATATCCAGAACTTTTTCATCTTCTCAAACTGAAACTCTGTACTGATTAAACCATAACTCTCCATTCCTCCTCCCCCTGGTTCCTGGCAACTACCATTCTACGTCTCCATGAATTTGACTACCTTTGGAACCTCATGTAAGTGGAATTATATGCCATTTGTCCTTTTGTATCAGGCTGATTTCACTTGGCATAATCTCATATTTACCCACGTTGTAGTGTGTGTCAGGATTCCTTCCTTTTTAAGCTGAATAATATTTCATTGTATGTATACACCACATTTTGTTTGTCCATTTATCCCTCCACCGACATTTGAGTTTTTTCTACCTTTTTGCTATTATGAGTAATGCTGCTATGAACATTTATGTACAAATGTGTTTGAGTCCCTGCTTTTAATTCTTTTTGAGTATATACTTAGAAGTGGAACTGCCACATCATATGGTAATTCCATGTTTAATTTTTTGAAAAACCACCATACCTTTTCCCCAGCAACTGTACCATTTTATATTCCCACCAGCAATGCACAAGTTTTTCAATTTCTCATTATCTTCCAGTACTTATTTTATAATAGCCATCCTTATGAACATAAAGTGATATCTCATTTGGTTTTTATCTGCATTTCTCTAATGATTAGTGATGTAGAGCATCTTTTCATGTGCTTATTGACCATTTGTATACCTTCTTTGGAGAAATGTCTGTTCAAGTCCTTGTCCATTTTTTAACTGAGTTGTTTTTGCTGGTGGTTAGTTGTAGGAATTCTTTATATATTCTAGATTATTAATCCTTTATCAGATATATAATTCAAAAATATTTTCTCCGACTCCATGAGTTAACTTTTCACTCTGTCCTTCGATGTGCAGAAATTTTTAATTTTGATAAAATCCAATTTATTTTTTTCTTTTTGCTTGTGCTTTTGGTATCTTATCCACAAAATCTTTGCCAAGTTCAATGTCAGGAAGCTTTTCCTCTACATTTTTTTCTAAGAGTTTTATTGTTTTGGTTCTTATATTTAGGTCTTCCAATCTTTGGAATGTTGTCACTTTTTTTTATATAAAAATAAAACTTTAATTTGCCAAGGGAACATCATAGCGACCCTTCACACCTTGTACCCAAGTTCTCCTAGGACCAGGCAAGCAGGGCCTCCCTCCCTTCTCTCTGGAAGTGGACAGTGCTCAGCTGGGAGAACAGTCAAAAACCAGAGGCTGAGGCCATGCTCAGAGATGAGCAGGGGGATTGGCCGGCTCCTTTCGTCCCTCACCAGCGATAGGCTGGCCTCGCTCTTCCCAGATGGTGAGGCCATCGCAGGAGCAGATCTGCTTGGGGTTCTGGAAGCAGCCAGCCTAGCATGCAATGATGTCACATGAAATGCGAAACTCCATTTCAACTTAGTTGTTGTATTTGATGAAAGGTAAGGGTCCAACTTCATTCTTTTGCATAAGAATATCCAGTTTCCAGCCCTATTTGTTGAAAAGATTCTCTTGTCCCCATTGCATGGTCTTCACACGCTTGTCAAAAATCATTTGACCATATATGTGAAGGTTTGATTCTGGGCTTTGTATTCTGTTTCATTTGTCAGCGTGTCTATCTTGATGCCAGAATAATCTTTTGTTTGTGATGCAAATAGCAAATATTTATTTCAGTTTGTCATTCTTTTTTTTTACTTTGTTTATAGTACTTATTTTTCGCCATGCAAAAGTTGTTTAATTTTATGTAGTTAAAGTTATGAATATTTTTCTTTATTGCTCCTCTATTTCATGTCAAGGGAAATGTTTCCCTAGCTTAACTTATAAAGGAACATACCATGTTTTCTTCTAGTATATGAATAACACTGTAAGGTTTTCAGAGAAAAAGAGTTGACCCCTTTCAGCAGAAACATAATAAACCAAATTGATAAAGGACTATACGACGACTGCTGGCCAAGTTAGAATGTGATCATTTGTTTAATAGGAATGGTGACAACCTACTGCAGATGAGGATGATAATGATAATATGACTTCATATTCTGTACAAGGAACTATAGGAGGTCTTTGTACACAGTAAGTATAAGGAAAGAAGAAAAACTCAATTGTGAAGAGCTTTAACTTTGAAGTTATATAAGCCTGAGTTCTAATACGTGTTTTACTAGATTAGTTCCAAACTATCACTGACTGGTGGTGTGACTGGGCAAACTTCTTACATCATTAAGTCTCAATTTTAAATCTGTGGAGTGGGAATAATACAAGGATTTACATCATGGACTTGCAGAGTTAAGTAAGATAATATATATAAAGTTTTTAGAGATTAAAATTAAGTATTCAGTATATATTAACTACTGTTAATAAAATTAGTACTAATTATTTCATAAATTTCTTAATTTATGAATAAAAGTACTGAAGCAATGACAAAATAGATAAAGTCATATAACTAGTAAGTGTCAGAATTGGGATTTAAACCTAACCTCTGATCTGTTTTTACTCCAAAGCTCCTACCCCTCCATTATATCAGTTGAAAGTCATTTTTACATAAATGTTGATTTTTAGAAAAACCTACAATAGAGGGACATGGTTATTAAGGGAATTCTCTTCTGATTAGAAACCATGGCAATTACACAAGAAACTTAGTGTACAAAAGCATAATGCATGACGCCATGATCTTTGCCTCTTTTTCCACAGTCAAATAGGAAGTGATCAAAATTTTAGAGCTGAGAAGTCAGAGGAAGATAAGGACTGAAAAGGTGTGACCAGATCAAGTAATTAAGATCTTATGGTTGATTTCTGAGGCAGAAATCGCAGTGTGTAAGATTAAGGAATGAATGTATTTGGCAGCAACAGGGCTGGCACGGTGGCTAAGATTAGACAAGCTTTCTGGGGCATAGCAGGAGTTAGGAGAAGCCCCAGCAAGGAGGCAGAAGATGGGTGGTGTGGAACATTTACTGCCCATGACTCATAGTTCCATAAAGGGAAGAGAATGGCCAATCTAATTATTCTCCAGGCATGGAAAATTATGGGAAGAACATTTCTAGCTTATCTTTCATCCCAATAGATGAGTGACTTATTTTTTATTAATTTGGAAGGAGGCTTAGCCCCTGACTCTTTGCTTTAAGCCAGCCTACAAACCAAGTGCAGAGAGGGTACATTCTAGCTTCTATAATAGGACAAAGTTCCATTCAATAAAGCTATTTGCCCAAACATCTACAGACACATTTCCCAATTACCTTTATCAACAATGAGGTTAACATTTTGATGTCTATTTGTCCAAACATGAAAGGGGAAGAAAGGAGTGTAATAGGGGTCAGCAATAGGCAGAACTTGAAGATGATAGGTGACTGGCTTCAGCAAGTTCTAGTAGTAGTGAAATGAGCAGAATCTACTTCTAGGTTGGGGCACTTGACACAGAGATTCAAAACTGGGAATCTAAAGGGTGATAGTTGCTTCCTTATGACTAGATTTAACCTAGAATCTAAGCACAAACTCACCCCTTAGGACTAGAATCCCTGGCTTCAGGTGTGAGGACTGGAGGAATGCCATGCATCAAAGCAAGAATACAGATAAACAGAGATAACATATGTTGATTGCATTTTTGAGAAACAAGATAGTAAATGAAAAGCCAGAAATACAACAATAATTTATAAGGTAGCAAGAAGGGTTAAGAAGAGGATTTTCTAGGGTACCTGGATGGTCAGTCAGTTAAGCATCTGCCTTTGACTCAGGTCATGATCGAGTCCCACGTATGGCTCCCTGCTTAATGGGGAGTCTGCTTCTCCCTCTGCTCCTCCCCCTGCCCACCCCCACTCTCTCTCACTCTTTCTCTCTCTCACACACACATACATGTGTGCAACAGTAAATAAATAAAAAATCTTAAAAAAAAAAAAAAAGAAGAAGAGGATTTTCTAAGGTCTGGGAAATCTGACCATGCTTATAGATCTCTTGAAAAGGGCAACACTGAAGATACAAGACCGTGACTGTAATTCATGGAGTGGATCCCAGGAGGCCAGGTGGGAAGAGGCTCCAGAGCAGAGAAGAAGGGGGTAGCCTTGAGGAGAAAGATCACTTCTGAGAAAGAATGGGAAAAAAAAAGAAAAGGAAATTTGAGAAAGACTAAAAGAAAAGGAAATTTTTTTTCTTTAAGTCTTTATTTAAATTCCAGTTAGTTAACATATAGTGTAATATTAGTTTCAGGTGTAGAATATAGTGATTCAACACTTCCGTACACCTTGTGCTCATCAGGTCAAGTGCCCTCCTTAATCCCCATCACCTCTTTCCCCATCCCCCCACTCACCTACCCTCTGGTAACCATCAGTTACTTCTCTATAGTTAAAGAGTCTGTTTCTTTGTTTGCCTCTTTTTCCCTTTGCTTGTTTTGTTTCTTAAATTCCATATGTGAGTGAATGCCATTTGCAATGATGTAGGTGGAGCTAGAGAGTATTATGTTAAATGAAATAAGTCAGTCAGAGAAGGAAAAGGAAATTCTAGAGAAGAAAGGAAATGCAAGGAGTTCTTGTTTAGATGAAAAGGAGGGATCAGAAGGTGACAGTGTAGAGTTAGCATGTTTGAGGAGAATGAAATGGTGTATAAATCTATGAAAAAATGAGATTGGCATTAATGATCTAAGTGATAAGGATTAGAGTAAATCCATGGTAAGCCTACTAAAATCAGTTTTGCTATTTTTATTCTACTATGTTCTGTTGTCTAGGATCAGGAGGCACAGCAAAAGATGGGATGGAAATTGGATTAAATAAATTCAGTACATCAAACACATTTTAACTTTTCTTTCTTAATAATTATGGATTTTTACCTCAGAGTCATCATTTTAAATAGCTATTCTCTCTCTTTTTAAAAAATTTTATTTACTTATTTGAGAGATAGATAGATAGAGCACAAGCGGGGAGGAGAGGGAGAAGCAGGCTTCCTGCGAGCAGGGAGCCTGATGTGGGACTCAGTCCCAGGACCCTGAGATCATGACCTGAGCTGAAGGCAGATGCTTAACCGATTGAGCCACCCAGGCGCCCCTAAACAGCTATTCTCAATATGGTAGTATAGTGCTAAATATATAAGTTATAAAAGATAAGGCTGAACTCAAAACATACCTGGGAAGTAGTTTGGTTTGTTGGTTTATTTTAAAACTAAATTCAATATCTCAGATTATAAGTGGAATGCTAATATTTATTGAATACCTAAGAAATACTAGACATTTGCTTGGGCACCACACAAACATGTAACTTGATTTAATTAAATATTCCAAAGTTCTGAGCTATTTATTCAGACACTCTGGATCACTTATTCAACAGTTGTACATCTACTAACTGCATCTCTCTGCAACATAATATAATGTGCAGTACATAGTTCTTTCTCTCCTTTATCTCACACCCAGTTGTGCCAGTAAGACATGAAACAGATGAATCACTTGAGCAACAGGGGAAGGGTAAGTATAATGAAGTATCACTATGTTTCACAAATTTTCAGAGGAATAAAGAGCATGAGCTATCTTTGGAATGATGGACAGGATTTGGATGAAGAGGAAAGGAAAGCATTGGATATTTCAAACCATAGCTATTGTGCGCAGGAACGACCACAGTACACAGTTCTGACTACTTTGAGGAAGGGGTAAAAGAGAGTGTTTGAATTAGATATACTGAGAATCAGAGGCTGGGTGGGTGGGGTGAAAGGGCTGTTTGGTGCAAGGAGAGTAGAGAAACATATCCCTGAGAGTCTACACCATTGGTTCATTTGCTAGTTGTAGCTCCTCTAGGCTGTTTTGGACATGAAATCATAACTGTGCCATGCTTCTTTATATAATGTTCTATGACTATTATTCCATCATTAAGATTTTCAAAACATGAAGTCTGTAAGAATCAGTGTTGTCTGTAATCATTAATGTAATTCGCTCTTCCTCAGGCAATCCTCAGCTGACCTACCCATTTGCCTAAGTTAAACTGGAAACTACTATCTTTGGAACAAGCCAAGGCCTTCATGCAACCTAGAGTTTTTTCTTTCTTAAGTCTTAAAATATACTAAATAAATATGAAGAGGTAGTAATTTAAATTTTCAAGTTTATCTCTTAGAGCCCCAAACTGAGTTCAGATGTTTTTATTGTTTATAGCTCTAAAAGTAGCTAATGAGTTGATACCATTTTATCATGCCTCTTGAAAGTAAAAAGAAATATCCTGGAAAATTTTATTTTGACACATGCTTGAATAAAATCTGCCAGAACATATCCTATATCCCCTAAACCTACAGCAGGTCAGATATAACACCATGCTGACTGACAGAAAGTCCTGGACAGTTGCATGAGTTGCAAGGGGTCTCAGGAGTCAATTGAATTTAGGCCTACTCCCCGACCCCTGCCTCCACCCAAATCCCCGGCTCTTCATACAAAGCAGCTAGATGGGTGGTCTGGCCCATGCTGCCACACTTTTGGCCCATACTTCCCACCATACCTAACATTTCAACAGATTCATTTATTTAACAAAAATACTTACGAGCAGCCACTCTATGCAAGCTAGTAGGGTATACTGTAGAAAAACATGTGGTTTCTGAAGTTATGGAGCTTATAATCGAGCAGGGAAGGCAGATGTTAAATAACTACAAGGTTAATTATTGAATTGTAAAGATGGCAAGTGCTCTGAAGAAGTAATACAGGGAACCCCTAAGAGAATGAGTTAGTTTGGGGACTCAAGGAAGTCTTGAGTTGTCCAACTAAGGAATGCTACACATGTAGAAATTCATTGCCCTATAGAGATTCTAGAACGTAAAGAACAAGCAAATTATCATCAACAAACACTTCTTTTGCATTTATGATGTCTCATACACTCTCATAAGCACTTTATAAACATTAACTCTATAACTTCCCTATGAAGTAAATGCTATTAATATAATCATTCTCGTTTCATATATGGGGAAACTGAGGCACAGAGAAGCTAGGTAACTTTGTGTGATCACACAATGACATAATGGCTTAGCCAGGATTTGGACCCGGGTGCTCTCAACAACCATGTTCTAATGCTTCTGTTACACAGTCCATATAAAGCATAAGGGAAGAAGCAAGCATATCAAGGTATAAAATATGCTGTGATTGGCACAAGTACATTTATCTTCTGCATCCAATAGCAAAATTCAATCAAATCAAGGATTACTAAAATCCACCAGAAATCAAAGTGGAGCTGGATAATATTTTTATGTATGATTTATATATATGTGTATATATATATATATTTAAAGATTTTATTTATTTATTTGACAGAGAGAGAGAC